TATATATATATATGGCTGAAGCCGGTGGGAGAGGTAGAAAGCAGAGACCCACCTTCAGGCATCCACTCAGCTCTATGTCTTGACCCCTCACACAGTGGAAGCTGAAGACAGAGGCAGTGTCCAGGGAAGATGTCTGTGTGTCCTCATAGGACCCCTTCAGCATCAGCTCCAGCTCCACTTTGTCCTGATCTAGGGAGAGAGTGAGCAGATGAACATAAAGGAAACAAGAGCCTACAACACCATCTTGAGCCTGGGATACCAGCAATAAATAGTGCTTGCCTGTGAAGGAGGTGTGGGAGGGTGGACCACAGTAAGCATTCTGAAGAAGGCCCTCCCCAGCCTGCTAAGTATCACAAGTCCCTATGACATGTGACTCAGAGGAGTTGTGTGCTCCCTCCCTGTGCGGGTTTCCCAGCAGCCTTTGACCTCCCATGATCCAGGCCTGGTTCTGAGCTGTTCTCACCTGCTGCCATGGCGGTGCTCCCTGCTCTGTCCAGACAGATGTCCAGGCATGACAGCTCTCGGGCCTGAGGCAGACCACATCATAGGCAAAGGGGTTCTGCAGGGTAAGCTGAAGTCCCCTCCATCTCAAGTCTGAGCCCCTCTGTCCCAAACCCAACACACACACACACACACACACACACACACACACACACACACAGAGCAGGAAGTAGGGTTCAGAATGGGACCGGACAGAGAACCATTCTCTCATCTCTGACTTGCTACAACTGTAAGCCTGATGTCTGTGAGGAGCTGCCAGGAGCGTCCATCTCCACCTGTTCCTGATCTCTTAGCTTCACTGGACTTCTGGAAGCCTCTGAAAACCCCCAGGTCTCAGAGTTAGTTCTCTCTGTTGCCTCCACCTCTCAGACTCTCAAACTGCATGTGAACCACAAGCCCATAGGAAGGGGGTGGCGGAGGAGTGTTGCTCATAGTAGTGACCAGAACATCTCCTGATTATTCTCAGCTCCACTGACATGTCTTCAGCATTCTCCCTGTAAGGCTCAGTGACTGCTGCAGTTGCTGCCCTTGCCACAGAACTTCTGAATTTACCTACCACCTGCCACCAAGGTTCAGAGAAGGCACTGCTGCCTTGGGTGTATCTTCACTGTAATGTACATTTTGTTTTATTTTTGAGACAAGGTCTCCATGTTGTACCCCTGGTTGGATAGGAAGTCACTATGTAAACTAGACTGGCTCAAATTCATGGTGATCCTCGTATTCCTGCCTCCCAAGCTGGGATTACAGGCATGGGCCACCACCTTACTGTGACTGTACCATGTATTTCTTTACAAAGTTAACCATCCATCAAACAGGCACTTGCCTAGCTCTGAGAGTAAGTGCCCCTGGGGTTTATGTTCCAGGGTCCTCCTCAGTAGCCTGCTCCCAGTTCACCTGTGGCCTGTTAGAGGATCACGTCCAATAATCAGCTTCCCATGCAGCAATCGCCACCTTGTGGCAGGTTCTGCCCCCTGCAGCTTCATGAGCTTGCTGCTTTAGAAAGTTCTGTGTGTTCTGTCATCCCCCACCCCATCTCCTAGATGGAAAGCACAGCACCCTGGAAACTCCCTCCAAGTCTCAGTGACCTCAGTATTAACAATCTGAAAAGTGGCCCCAGCATACAGGTCTTCACCATGACTCCATGACTTCAAGGAAGAATTTGAGTTAATCCCTAAGGATTCCAAGTTCACCCATGACTAAACATCATATCAGAAAACACATAACATTTCTCAACATTCCCTCAGCCATCCAGCTAGAAGCCAGACCTTTTCTCAAGCACAGAGCACCTCACCTCTCTCCATGTACCCTCAACTTTAGGCCCCTCTGAGTCCCACAGCCTTAGGTGAGCACCTGACTGGAGGCCTGGGTAGCTTTACCACAAAGCTCTGCCCTTGCCTTTCTTCTCCTGCACACCCCAGAACCTCCCTCTGGAGCTCCTCCCTAAGTCTCAGGAAAGCCATTACCACAAGAACATTGTTGGTGATGAGGTTTTCCAGAGGGTCTGACCTGGAAAAATAAAAACACCCATTCTGGCCTTGCAGAAGCTAAAGTATCCTGAACTGACCTGTCCCCTCAATGCCCAGGTTCCCACCCACATGGAGGTCTCCCTGGGTCAATCAGGGTGAAGGGAGATGCCTCTGTGGAAGGCAAAGTGAGAGGAAAGCATGGGGAGGGGAAATGCTGGTCACCTTACTCCACCCTCCCAAAAAGAGCCCCAGACCTGGAGCCTAAGATGAGGGAAGGTGACTCAGTTGGACAGATCAACACGGGATCTGAGTCAGGACCATTTTCCTGAATAGAGCTTGGGTCCTCAGCCACTCCCTGAGCTGTGCACTATTACTCACATTTTTTCCATCAGGAACTCCACATCTAGCTCTTCTGGTCCCTGAAATCACAGAGGGTGAGCAAGTCATCCTCATCTGCAATTGACACGGTTCTTTTACATGCACTATCTCATCAAGCACTCTGAGGAAGGCACACTATGACATTATTTTCCATTCACAGATGTGGAAACGGAGGTGAAGGGCAAGACCTACCCAAGTTACCCACAGCTAGTAGGTCTTCAGAGGAACAGATCTACCACCCTTTCTGGGTCCCTGAACCCTGACCAGGTCGAAGGCAAAAGACAAGGAGCTTGACCAAAGGAGGCCCAAGGATGTCCAGGCTTCATTTCTTCTCCTTCTTGAGGAGGCCCAGGGCCCCAAAAACTTTGGTCTCCCCTCCCCCAGCATGCAGCAGGGAGAAGGCCAGGACCTCAGTGGGGTGCGCTTTGGGTGCCACACTGCCCCCTGGTGTCTGCACCGAGCAGTGTTTTGACAGATACCAGAAGTTCTCCAGAACCTTCCTTTTAACAATCACTAAAGCTCCCACCCAGAGTGATGCTGTCTATAACAGCAGCTGAACAGCTCCTATTAAAATGAAAATCTCCCTGGGTAGGGCTCATGTTGGTCTGTGATGAGTTCAAGCAGCAGCGTCCCCACAGGTAGAAGTGAGCAACTTCCTCACCCGAGGATTCAGGGAGAAGGTTTTCTGGAACAGTTGGCCAGGGAGGATTTCTGAGACATCATAGAAAACTTTGAAGCAAATGTCATCCTTCATAATCAAGTCTTCATCATAGACACTCAGTTCCAGAACATTCTAGGAACCAGGAACATAAACTTAGCATAGTATCTAATCATGACAAGAAACAATAGCTCACAGGTAAGTGTAAAACTTAAAAGAAGCATGCTGGGCATGTTGGCCCATGCCTTTAATCCCAGCACTTGAGAGGCAGAGGCAGGTGGATCTCTGTGAGTTTAAGGCTAGCAGGGGCTACAAGGAGAACTTGTTTCGAAAAAAATACCCGCCCCCCAAAAACTTAAAAGAAGCATAAGGGAATCCAGCAAAGTTCCTAATGTCCTCCTATTGTTTTGTTTTTACCAAAAATAAAATTCCTTGGCTAAAGAAATGGGTCAGCAGTTAAGAGCACTGGCTGCTCTTGCAGAGGACCAGAATTCAGTGCCCAGCACCCATATGATGGCTAACAACTGTCCTTAACTCCTGCTTTAAGGGATCAAACAGCTTCTTTTGACCTCCACAGGCACTACATTCACATACATGCATGTAGAACACTCATACACATTAAAAAAATAAGGAAAAATTTTTAATTAAATTTTAAAAATGAAATTATTTGGCCAGACTGGTGGCTCACTCCTGTAATCCCAGCATTTGGAAGGCTGAGGCAAGAGGATTGTGAATTTGAAGCTAGGCTGAACCACACAGTGAGACTTTGTCTCAAAAAAAAAAAATTCCATCAAAAAATTCTCTCCCTATACAGCACGGTGGCTCGTGCTTGTAATCACAGTACTTTGGGGGAGCACTGGAAGTCTCATGCCAGCCTGGGCTAAATACACAGTAAGTTCAGGACTATCCAAGACTACAAAAAACAACAACAACAAAAAAAAAAAAAAACCAAAACCCCTACCCTGTCTCAGGTAGCTGAGGCTGTGGCTCAGTGATAGAGTACTTGCCTGGCATGCATGAGGTCCTGGGTTCAATCCCCAGTACCAGGAGTATGGGGAGGGGGTGGGGAAAGGCCTTATCTCACAAAACAAAACAAAATAATATTAGGGAACTGCTGTCTGCCCTGCTTCACTGGTTCCCTAACACATTCCCAAAGGCAAGTGCCAGGTACTATGACAGGCTGCAGTGCAGTGCCCCAACAGGAGGGATGTTTACTGTCCCTATGTCGTTGATGGGCATAGGGAGAAGTAGCAGCTTGCCCTGCAGTCAGAGAGAGGCAGGCCCGGGTTCGTTCCTTCACAAATTCTCTCACAACCCATAGAGGCTGGAGCACAAAGAACCTCATCCCCAGAGTTTCTGTGAGTATTGGAGGACCTCTGCTCCCTCCCTTGGGGGAAAGGGGTGTGGACTGTTTACAAGCGAGTGCCCAGTAGTACCCTGACCTTTACCTTGACCTGACTTTGGATGAGGAAACTGAAGGTCTCATTCCATACTGGATGACTGGAGTTGATGACTGTTTTGGTCTTGAACTTCATTCCAGGAGCTGTTGACAACTGTAGGATCACATATGGATCCACCTCACTCACTGCCAAAGTCAAGGGAACCATCAGGGGAGAGAGAACTCCTCACATCGTTTCCCCAAGATCTTGCCAGGTTCCTATCACAACCCCAGAAGCCACTGACAGCAACCCAGCCCCACCACAAGGCAGTGCCTCCCTCTTGGGATCTAGTCCCCCAGGAGATAATCACTCACACAAATCACCCTTGCACAGGCTCCGAGCCTCCAGGACCCTCACAGTGAGCCGCCAGCAGGCAGAGGCCTCCTCCTGAAGAAAAAATGCCAAGCTCCTTAGTTCTCCAGCAGACTTTTGTCCAAACCGGGAGCCACTGGGTTGCCCAGTTCCCTGACTGCACATACACACACCAGTCTGCTAATTGTTGATGCCGCCAGAAGCATGGCCTTTGGGGGACATCCCCAAGGGGCCAAATAGCCTTTGTCCCCACTGACCTTGTGGTTATAGTTCTGGCCTGTGGCACTCAGGGAATGGCAGACTGCCTGGGGGTAGAGTTTGTGGGGTCCTCTCCCCTTCAGGGACAGGATTACGAGAGTGGCAAACAAAGCAAGGAACTGAGGACAGAGGAGTGACCACCTTACTAGTCATATTGGAGTCGGTCACATCCAGAGCAGCCCCACCTCATCCCTTTGGGCCTACTCTATGTATCAAGGCGGGGCTGAGCCTAGGGAACCCAGTGCCCATGGTATCCACAGGTACTAAACTGTGGTTCAGTCATCTGTGATTTCTTGGTCATGACTTAGGCATGCTAAGAGGATCAGGCCAGGACAATGAGCTGTGGGTGAAAGGTCATTGGGTATCAGGATGCTTATGAGGTACCTGGGACCAAAGTGAACCCAAGAGAAAATGAGCAGCAAATAGGTGGCAGGAGGAAAAGCAGAGGGCAGCAGTGCCCAGTCAGGGCAGAGCACTAGGGGACTGTGCCCACTCCAGCTGAAGTCCCTAACACTGCTGGGATTCAGGGGGCTCTCCGTTTTGTTTTGGGTTTTTTTTTTTTTTTTTTTTTTTTTTTTTTTTTTTTTTGGTTTTTTTTTTTTTTTTTTTTTTTTTTTGCTTTTTTTGTTTGTTTTGTTTTTTATCCTGGGATTCAACTGTCTAGCTTTTTCTAGGTAACTTGCACAGACAAGCCACATGATCTGAAATTGTCACGCCATCTCCAATGAAGCCCGCGTGAGATCCTCCGTGTGTTGAGGCTGGAACTTCAAGGAAGGTTGCCTCTTGGAGTTGGTTGTGCTGAGAAACATGCAGTGTACTTGGCATGCTTTACTTGCTATTATTTTTCTAACTGTCACTGTATCTTGGGCTTTCTGGGGGCCCGGAAAGCACCTGGCGTCCTTGGCACCACTATCACCACCTTTATTGAAATCCTTTAATCATCCTAGTTCAGATGCACCACTATTAATGAAAGATATTTTAATGAAAGATATTTGATATATTAGGAGAAGTAATTAAGCAGAATTAACGCTGGATGGTCCAGGGAATAATGGATTTCTAGAAGAAATATATAGATGGATAAATATAGATAGAAGAAGGGTTTCTGGGTATTCATTACAACTTATGGATAAATTGGTAAGATCAAGACCACCTTGGTGTCTTTTGATAAACAATCAATAAAAAAGCATTAAAGGGCAAATATAGAAAGTATCTGAAAATTGGTAGGATAAGAGAGAAGGATGGTTTCATGGATAAACTGGTAAGATCAAGACCACCTTGTTGTCTTGATCTTACCAATTTATCC